TTTTTTTTTTTTTTTTTTTTTTAAAGAGGAACAGCTTTGGAGGGCCTGAAGGTCATATACTTAGGGTCACACCCCACACCCCACTGATTCTTGGTTCATGACAAGAGAGTACGAACCTGTACGCCATTACTGCCAGGTTCATGTTTTACAAGTAAGCATGAATAGAGCACCAGTGGGGCAGGCCCCTTAGTCCATGTACGTCGGCCCAGGCCCGCTGGTTACTGTGTTCGTGCTAGGAAAGTACGAACCTGGATCTCTTTACGGCCAGGTTTACGTTTTCCAAGCATGAAATACTGTGTTCGTGCTAGGAAAGTACGAACCTGGATCTCTTTACGGCCAGGTTCATGTTTTCCAAGCATGAATGAACATAGGACCAGTTGCGGCTGTCCCTTCTTCCATATATTCAGGGCAAAGCCCCAGTGGTGCTATCTTCATGTTAGAAAAGCACTGAACCTGGACGGTATTACGGCCAGGTTCATGCTTTCCGATCAAGCATGAAGATAGCACCAGTTGGCCCTGGCCCTTACTAGTCCTAAGCAAATGGGCGCATGTGTGATGGTGTCAACGCAGGCGAAGCTCATTTATGTTAGTGGACCTCAATTATGCATGAATATGGGCCTCGCTGCACTACTCTAGACTCTCAAAGTTTCGAGAGTGGGTCTTCGCTGCACTTACTCTCGATCCGGAAACTCTCGAAACCCGATCGAGAGCTGTCAGAAGCCACCGTGACGCTATAACGCCACTCTCGAAACGTTGAGAGTCGCCCGCCTGCAAAAACCGAATTTGCAATTGTGCTCGGGAGTTGCCCGCCGACAGGCTCGTTTTTCGAGAGTGGACCTGAGGCTCCTGTCCCGGCGGCCAGACTTTGTCTCGTAGCGCAGTGGTGCAGATCTTCTGTCGAGTCGGACGGCGCCCAGGGTTTCGAGACCTCATCTAGTGTAACGGGTTCTGGAGTAAGTGCAGCGAAGGCGGGTATTTCGAGAGTCTCGCCTCTCTGACAATGCTAGTCGAACTCTCGAAATATTTCGAGAGTGCAGCGAGGCCCTATGAGCTATCTTTGCAGTCCGATACAGGCATGCTGAGGGTGCATCATGTTCCCGGGAGGACCGGTAGTCTAGCAGAGCTATATCTCACTCCTGTTTTACAACGTATATATGAGTCGGTGAAACTCCGACGAAACAGTTTGTCACAGCCCCTCGTTTGTTGTCCTCTTCTCCCTCTCTGCCTACGGTTTACCGGGCAGTTCTATTTGACGATATATAATGACGATATATAATATATATATACCTTTTTTTTCCTGTTCTTTTCTTTCCTTTCTTTTTTTGTTCTTTTCTTTTCTTTTCTTTTCTTTTCTTTCTTTCTTTCTTTTTTTCTTTCTTTTTTTTTCTTTTCGAAACAGAACCTTATGGCTCTGGCTCCTTTTCCACTCTGGGGAGCATCAGTCCGGTTCCTATTCCACCGGCAAGTCAAAAGGAAATACATATAGGACTGATGCACGCTCTTCCCCTTTACGGTAGGGAAGCCCGAGGGACGGCATGGATTACTTCTCACCGGGAGGATGTACCACTCCTCGTCCCTGCCTAAGGTGGCCTGATTTCTTTTGTTTTGTTTCTACTACTTGGAAACTATTCCAGTATTGTGGTGGTCTCTGAAGAGTTGCTTGGTTAGGCCTCGTATCGCCTGTTCCTCTCAGGTCCTTGACTGCCTGATTTTCTTCAAGTACTAGAACTGCAGACTCTTCCCTCCACATAGGTCTTGAAGAACGCTATACCCTCTCGGGTCTAGTTTCTCATGTCTATGACTGAGTTTAAACTTTAAAGTTAAAACCCTAACCCCTACCCTGTTTAAATTTCCACTTCAACTGGTTCTAAGTGGTGCTAAAACCCTAAACCCTAAACCCTAGCTACCGGTAGTTTAGCTAGTCTGTTAAAAACCTATTTGAAATTTGAATCTCTTCCTATGGTTTGTGTCCCATATCCTCAGCTTTTTTTTCTTTTTCTTTTTTTTTTTTCCTTTTTCTTTTTTTTTTTCCTTTTTTTTTTTTTTTTTTTTT